TGGACAGACATTTTTCTTAACAAAATACTTAGACTATACAACAAACATTGTCCAACAAAAACTAAACAGATCACGAATAAACGGCTTGGTTGCCCATGGCTAACCAACAGCATTCTGAAATCCATTGATAAGAAACATCAATATGAAAAAGCAATATAGACAGGGCTTAATACACAAAGATATTCTTAAACAATATTCAACAGTTCTCACCAAATTAATAAAGAAAGCCAAACAACTATACTACTCCAGCAGATTCACTGACACAAGAGGAGATATAAAAAAGACCTGGAAAACACTTTCCCAGATTCTGGGGACCCACAAACTAAAAAAAAAACAAGAATATTGTTCTAACTAAACCTCATGAAACACCACTACATCCCACTGACACAGCTAACAAGATAAACGACTTCTTCTCAAACATAGGATCTAATCTCGGCAGTAAAATCCCACGTACCAATGCCTGTGCCGGGGACTACCTAGATGGGAATTTCCCAAATTCCTTCTATCTTGTACCAACTGAGCCCACGGAAGTCACCGCGGTCATAAAGTCACTTAAAAATAACTCGGGGAATCTGTCTCACGTCCCACCATTATTGTACAAGCGAGCGGCCCATGTCCTTTCGCATGCTATTACATTACTTTTTAACAAGTCACTAGAAACTAGCCCTTTCCCGACAGTACTCAAGACAGCAAGGGTTACACCAATACATCAAGGTGGTGACCCTACAGACGTAAACAACTACAGTGGACCCCCGCTTAACGATCACCTCCCAATGCGACCAATTATGTAAGTGTATTTATGTAAGTGCGTTTGTACGTGTATGTTTGGGGGTCTGAAATGGACTAATCTACTTCACAATATTCCTTATGGGAAAAAATTCGGTCAGTACTGGCACCTGAGCATACTACTGGAATGAAAAAAGTTCGTTAACCGGGGGTCCACTGTATAGGCCAATATCAAACTTACCATTGCTATCCAAAATCTTTGAGAAACTCGTGCACAGGAGACTATATTCATTTATAGCGTCACAAAACATACTCAACCTCTGCCAATTTGGATTCAGGAAAAATAAAAGCACTAATGATGCAATTATAAAAATGTTAGACCTGCTTTACACAGCATTGGAAAATAAGGAATATCCACTAGGAATTTTTATTGACCTAAGAAAAGCTTTTGACATAGACCACGACATCCTAACCATACCACGGGCGGGATTGAACCCACGGTCAGAGAGTCTCAAAACTCCAGACCGTCGCGTCAGACTCTCTGACCGCGGGTTCAATCCCGCCCGTAGTATGGTTTGTTTGCAATCGTGTCATTATGATTTCGTGAGTCACGGCATCCTACTCCACAAACTTGACCACTATGGTATAAGAGGCCATGCGCTTGCATATTTTAAATCCTACCTTTCTAATAGGTATCAGTATGTCACCATTAAAGACACAGCATCATCAACACGGCCACTTGATACTGGAGTTCCACAGGGAAGTGTCCTTGGTCCCCTGCTCTTCCTCATTTACATCAATGACCTTCCAAACATATCACAACACCTGAAACCCATTCTCTTTGCTGACGACACGACTTATGTCATCTCTCACCCTAATCTTGCCACCCTCAACACCATTGTTAACGAGGAGCTGCTCAAAATATCGACTTGGATGACAGCCAATAAACTTACACTTAACACTGGCAAAACCTACTGTATTATGTTTGGTAGCAGAGCAGGTGTTGCACAACTTAACATTAAGATCGACAACACTCTAATTGCCAGACATAATGAGGGCAAATTCCTTGGCCTATACCTCAAAAACAACCTAAATTTCAGCACCCATATCCAACATATAACAAAAAAAGTATTCAAAATGGTGTGGATCCTCTCCAAGATACGATACTATGTGCCCCAAACTGCCCTTCTCACACTATACCATTCACTTATATATCCATACCTCACCTATGCTATCTGTGCTTGAGGTTCAACTGCAGCAACACGCCTAAAGCCAATAATAACCCAACAAAAAGCCGCAGTAAGAATAATCACTAAATCCCATCCCTGGCAATACCCCCCCCCCCCCGCCCACTCTTCATAGATCTAAACTTACTCCCTGTTCAGAACATCCACACTTACTACTGTGCAATCTATATCTACAGGACCTTAAATTCCAATATTAATCTTGACCTAAAACACTTTCTTGATAGTTGTGACAGGATCCACAGGCATAACACCAGACACAAACATCTCTATGACATTCCCCGTGTTCGACTAAACCTTTACAAAAATTCAATGTATTTCAAAGGACCTAAAATCTGGAACACCCTACCTGAAAACTCTAGAACTGCAGACACATTCATCACCTTCAAAACTACAGTTAGAAAACATCTTATCTCCCTGATCCACCCCGACAACGAACTACATGATAACCACCTGGTGGTTCACAATTACACTCACTCACCCACTGACTTTAAACCCAGAAATACTAATTTTAATCTTAAAATAATAAATCCTAACTAGTCATAAGTTTGCCTATGATACTCCAATATAGACACTTTGTATTGTGCCAAAACAAAAGCATTCACATTGCTAAACTCACAAATTATGATGTAGTCACTTAGCCTTAATACCATAATCTGTAAGGATTTAATGTTAAGAATTAATCTAAGTCTGCCCGAAATGCCTAGCCATGCTAGATGTCCTAGTGGCCCCCTCTGTAATTAGTATTTTATAACATGTAAACCACACAATACCCAAAACCTGTAAATCCCACATTGTAACCCTTATAGAGAATAAACTTGAATTGAATTGAATAGTATATCTATCTATCTATCTATCTATCTATCTCTCTCTCTCTCTCTCTCTCTCTCTCTCTCTCTCTCTATCTCTGGTATCATATAAGACAATGTTACCAAGCAGTTGTAACGTAACGTTAGTAAACAACTGCTAAAGCGTAACGCAGTCTACCCTTGACCTCTGACCTTGAGCGTGTAAGGTGTAGGATGATTTTCCAAGAATTTTTGTGGGAAAAAAGGTGCGCCTTATATGCCAGACAATACGGTACTCCAATGTAAATAGGTTTGAGCAAAGGGTAGACAAGCTCGACTTCCTTGCATTTTACCAGCAGTAAAGAATGCGCTTAAAGACAAGTTAAGAGGAGTAACACAGGTGTGGGAATGATACAGTGGAGTGTGGGAGTGATACCGTGGATTGTGGGAGTGATACTGTGGATTGTGGGAGCGATACCGTGGATTGTGGGAGTGATACCGTGGAGTGTGGGAGTGATACCGTGGAGTGTGAGAGTGATACCGTGGAGTGTGGGAGTGATACCGTGGAGTGTGGGAGTGATACTGTGGATTGTGGGAGTGATACTGTGGATTGTGGGAGTGATACCGTGGATTGTGGGAGTGATGCCGTGGAGTGTGAGAGTGATACCGTGGAGTGTGGGAGTGATACCGTGGAGTGTGGGAGTGATACCGTGGAGTGTGGGAGTGAGTCAGACTTGTTACGAGGCAAAAGCAGCAGTAATATATATGACGTGTGGGAGTAGCAGTGTGGGAGTTATAAATCTGAGAGAGGGGGGGTAAAACCAAGTTAGTATAGTGTGTGGGAGTCATGGGGATGTATGTGGGAGTTGCAGTAGTGTGGGAGTTGCAGTAGTATGGGAATCACTGGAGTGTGTGAGTTACAGGAGTGTGGGAGTTGCAGGAGTGTGTTACAGGAGCATGGGAGTTGCAGGAGTGTGGGAGTTACAGGAGTGTGGGAGTTGCAAGGGTGTGGGAGTTGCAGGAGTGTGTTACAGGAGCATGGGAGTTGCAGGAGTGTGGGAGTTACAGGAGTGTGGGAGTTGCAGGAGTGTGGGAGTTACAGGAGTGTGGGAGTTGCAAGGGTGTGGGAGTTGCAGGAGTGTGGGAGTTATAGGAGTGTGGGAGTTGTAGGAATGTGGGAGTTACAGGAGTGTGGGAGTTGCAAGGGTGTGCTGGAAAATGCAGTAATTTACTCATGGAGAACAAGCCTCATGAGGATGGGAATCTTCAGATCTTTCACATTCTCGTGTGTTGTCAGGAGCTATGGAGTGTTAGAAACAGACAGGAGGGGAAATTGTCTGAGGTGAGGCAGGAGCATGTCACGAATGGCCATTGTTGACATGCTCCTGCCTCACCTCAGAAAAATTTCTCCTATACATTGCTAGTATTGTAACATTGCATAGCTCTTGATGATGCACGAGTGTGTGTGAAAGTCCTAGAGGTAAAGGTTCCCATCCCAGTGTGGCTGGTTCTGCACTGTTAATTCAATTCAATTCAAGTTTATTCTCTATAAGGGTTACAATGTGGGATTTACAGGTTTTGGATATTGTGTGGTTTACATGTTATAAAATACTAATTACAGAGGGGGCCACTAGGACATCTAGCATGGCTAGGCATTTCAGGCAGACTTAGATTAATTCTTAACATTAAATACTTACAGATTATGGTATTAAGGCTAAGTGACTACATCATAATTTGTAAGTTTAGCAATGTGAATGCTTTTGTTTTGGCACAATACAAAGTGTCTATATTGGAGTATCATAGGCAAACTTATGACTAGTTAGGATTTATTATTTTAATATTAAGATTAGTATTTCTGTGTTTATAGTCAGTTAAGGCCGCCTGCTTGCAAAGGTACTGTAAAATGCTACTATATACTACAGTATAACTGTAACTTTGTACCTACACCTAAATAAACTTACACTGTTACCCACCTATATCTACGTTACTGGTGCCATTGCGATTCGTGAATTTGTATGTTTTAAGCACAGTGCTCTCAAATATGCTTTGAGCAGTAAATTTTGGCCAAGACATGAGAGAATGGGTGTGTGCAAGGATATAGAAAAAAAAAATCCTGCCCCATGCAAAGAATGATGGGAATAATAAAACTTCTGTCCAAGTGTTTGGTTTAGATACTTTGAGGTTACTGTGTGTAGTTTATATGGTTTAACTGTTTCCTTGGTATAAAATGACAGAATAGAAACTAATAGCAAAATAGGGATGATTTTGTTGGTTTTAGACCCAGAGTAGCTTGAAGCAGCCTCAGAGTAGCTTGAAGCAGCCTCAGAGTAGCTTGAAGCAGCCTCAGAGTAGCTTGAAGCAGCCTCAGAGTAGCTTGAAGCAGCCTCAGAGTAGCTTGAAGCAGCCTCAGAGTAGCTTGAAGCAGCCTCAGAGTAGATTGAAGCAGCCTCAGAGTAGATTGAAGCAGCCTCAGAGTAGCTTGAAGCAGCCTCAGAGTAGCTTGAAGCAGCCTCAGAGTAGCTTGAAGTAGCCTCAGAGTAGCTTGAAGCACCTCAAAGTAGCTTGAAGTAGCCTCAGAGTAACTTGAAACAGCCTCAAAGTAGCTTGAAGCAACCTCAAAGTAGCTTGAAGCAGCCTCAAAGTAGCTTGAAGCAGCCTCAGAGTAGCTTGAAGCAGCCTCAAAGTAGCTTGAAGCAGCCTCAGAGTAGCTTGAAGCAGCCTCAAAGTAGCTTGAAGCAGTCTCAGAGTAGCTTGAAGCAGCCTCAAAGTAGCTTGAAGCAGCCTCAAAGTAGCTTGAAGCAGCCTCAGAGTAGCTTGAAGCAGCCTCAAAGTAGCTTTAAGCAGCTTCAAAGTAGCTTGAAGCAGCTTCAAAGTAGCTTGAAGCAGCTTCAAAGTAGCTTGAAGCAGCTTCAAGTAGCTTGAAGCAGCTACAAAGTAGCTTGAAGCAGCTTCAAAGTAGCTTCAAGTAGCTTCAAAGTAGCTTGAAGCAGCTTCAAAGTAGCTTGAAGCAGCCTCAAAGTAGCCTGAAGCAGCTTCAAGTAGCTTCGAAGTAGGTTGAAGCAGCCTCAAAGTAGCTTGAAGCAGCCTCAAAGTAGCTTGAAGCAGCCTCAAAGTAGCTTGAAGCAGCCTCAAGTTGGAAAAGCCTGGCAACGTTATTAACCCTTTCAGGGTCCACAGGCCCTCTCCGAGACTTGTTCTCAGGGTCCCCTAAATTTAAAAAAAAAAAAAAAAAAAAAAAAATTCTTATGAAAAGATAGAGAATCTTTTCCCGATCATAATGACACCAAAAGCATGAAATATGATGGAAAACTTATGGAAATTATGCTCTCGCGAAGTTAGCGGTCTCGACGATCTTTGCGCATCGGCGATTTTGCCCACTTTGAGCCCTATTTTCGGCCAATTCCAGTGTACTAGTCGACAAAAATCATAACTATTTCGCTAGAACCCAATTTTTTCTATCGAATGAGTACAAGAAACCACCCATTTACCGATTTCAACTATCCAATACAGTGGTCAGAATTTAGAAATTTTGCCAATCTCACACAAATTTTAAAAGATGCCAATTTCCGAATAGGGTCCAGAATAAACAAGAAAGACATTCCTGGCACTAAAATAACATTTCCACTTTTCATTAGTCACGTCCCCATGCCCCTCTTACATTCTTTTGCTTTTCACTTTGAATTTTTATTCTCACAAAAAAATAGAAGATTTACTGTTATGCAGACTACTGCATTAGTGTAGAAATGGTATAAATAATATCAGCACACTTGTGAAAGAATATTAGACTCACCAGCTGACGTGTATTGGACGCATGGCATGATTTGTTTACTTTTGAACTTTGGTAAAAATCGAACATTTCTGCTACTTTGAGCTCAATTTCAAGGTACTTTTCATTGTAAAACCAGTCAAAATTATCTCAATTTCTGTAATATGTCTTCCATTCTATAAAATGAGACCAGAAAAACTAGAATACAACCATAAATACCATACAAAAATACCATGCAAAGCCGCTGTTTTAATCCAAAAACACGGTCAAAGTTTTTTTTTCTCATTACGCACTGTGTGCTGCAGGATTTTTTGTATGCTGCACACACTGACCACATAGACCCATTCTTTCATATGTAGGCCTACCAGCTTTCTCTCACTAGATTTAAGGGCGCTAGAATTTAGGCGTACAAGTACGTCATGGACACTGGTGCGTAAGCCGTACTAGTACGGCCGAAACCCTGAAAGGGTTAATAAACAGAGGAAAGGTTGCTTTAGTGGCTGGAATGGCTAGTGTTTATTTTGAACCCTGTTTGTAAATTGGACTTTGTTGAATTTTGTGTAAAACTGGCCAAATTACCAACTTCCATGCATTTTACTAGGTAGTTCTGATAGTAAAACGGATAGTTTATTGCAGTCAATCAATAGAATGAGGCACACTATCAAAACAACTAGGAACTGGGTCAAACTGAGCAAAGAAATTGGCTTAAAATAGGACTCAAAGAGATCAAAATTGCCGATGAGAAAACTGTGCGCAAATCGCCAACTTTGTGCCTGCATAATTCTGTAAATCTATCAAATTTCACATTGCCTTCAGAAAAACATACTCTACCGTTTTACAATATAAAATTATTAATTTTGGGGGGAAAAAATCGTGACATTATGAACAATCTTAAAATTTCAGGGGTCGTGAGAGTGAAAGGGTTAAAACACAGGCTTATGATACTGACAGTAGTGGAAAAAGACAAAATGAAATTGTTGTAAGACAGTGGAGCGGCTAATGGGACCTTGGAGTAATTAATGGGACCTTGGAGTGATTAATGGGCCCCTGGAGTGATTAATGGGACCTTGGACTGACAAAAGGGACCTTGGAGTAATAAAAAAAGGAGTAACAAAAGGGACCTTGCAGTAACAAAAGGGACCTTGGTGTGACAAAAAGGACCTTGGTCTGATGAAAGGGACCTTGGTGTGACAAAAGGGACCTTGGTGTGACAAAAGGGGCCTTGGTGTGACAAAAGGGACCTTGGTGTGACAAAAGGGACCTTGGAGTAACAAAGGCTCCAGGACTGATACATTTTCATTAAACATGTAAAGCGACTATTGGCAGAAAGGTGGGCTAGTGCAAAGATGAGTAGAGGGGGGGTTGAAGAGGGTTGGAATAGTTTTAAAAATGCAGTATTAGAATGTGGGGCAGAAGTTTGTGGTTATAGGAGGGTGGGGGCAGGAGGAAAGAGGAGTGACTGGTGGAATGATGAAGCAAAGGGTGTGATAAAAGAGAAAAAGTTAGCTTATGAGAGGTTTCTACAAAGCAGAAGTGTTATAAGAAGAGCAGAGTATATGGAGAGTAAAAGAAAGGTGAAGAGAGTGGTGAGAGAGTGCAAAAGGAGAGCAGATGATAGAGTGGGAGAGGCACTGTCAAGAAATTTTAATGAAAATAAGAAAAAATTTTGGAGTGAGTTAAACAAGTTAAGAAAGCCTAGGGAAAGTATGGATTTGTCAGTTAAAAACAGAGTAGGGGAGTTAGTAGATGGGGAGATGGAGGTATTAGGTAGAGGGCGAGAATATTTTGAGGAACTTTTAAATGTTAAGGAAGAAAGAGAGGCAGTAATTTCATGCACTGGCCAGGGAGGTATACCATCTTTTAGGAGTGAAGAAGAGCAGAATGTAAGTGTGGTGGAGGTGCGTGAGGCATTACATAGAATGAAAGGGGGTAAAGCAGCTGGAACTGATGGGATCATGACAGAAATGTTAAAAGCAGGGGGGGATATAGTGTTGGAGTGGTTGGTACTTTTGTTTAATAAATGTATGAAAGAGGGGAAGGTACCTAGGGATTGGCGGAGAGCATGTATAGTCCCTTTATATAAAGGGAATGGGGACAAAAGAGATTGTAAAAATTATAGAGGAATAAGTTTACTGAGTATACCAGGAAAAGTGTACGGTAGGGTTATAATTGAAAGAATTAGAGGTAAGACAGAATGTAGGATTGCGGATGAGCAAGGAGGCTTCAGAGTGGGTAGGGGATGTGTAGATCAAGTGTTTACATTGAAGCATATATGTGAACAGCATTTAGATAAAGGTAGGGAAGTTTTTATTGCATTTATGGATTTAGAAAAGGCATATGATAGAGTGGATAGAGGAGCAATGTGGCAGATGTTGGCCCTATATCACTCTCTTATTTACCCCTATCTCACCTATGGAATTTGTGCATGGGGCTAAACAACAGTTAACCATCTCAGACCACTAATTACCCAACAAAAGGCTGCAGTTAGAATGATAACAAATTCTCACTACAGGCAGCACACTCCACCAATATTCAATACACTAAACCTACTCACCATACAAAACATCCATACTTATTACTGCACCTATTACATACATAGAACACTTAACTCTGATATTAACCCTCCCCTCAAACATCTCCTTGCCAACCTCAACAGAACACATGACCATAACACAAGGCACAGATCACTCTTTGATGTTCCTCGTGTTCATCTCACACTATGCAAAAACTCAATGCACATAAAAGGCCCTAAAATCTGGAATTCATTACCTGTAAATATAAAAGAAACACTACCTGTTTATAAATTCAAGTCTCTACTCAAAGATCACTTACTCACCCAAAACCAAATAAATACTGAATAACTGAACCTTATAAATTGTATATCTTAAATGTTTCTCACAATTATATCACATAAATTTTTTATTTATTTTATTATCACACCGGCCGATTCCCACCAAGGCAGGGTGGCCCGAAAAAGAAAAACTTTCACCATCATTCACTCCATCACTGTCTTGCCAGAAGGGTGCTTTACACTACAGTTTTTAAACTGCAACATTAACACCCCTCCTTCAGAGTGCAGGCACTGTACTTCCCATCTCCAGGACTCAAGTCCGGCCTGCCGGTTTCCCTGAATCCCTTCATAAATGTTACATAAATGTCACATAAATGTTAAACCTAAAACCCAATCTAACTTTATTATTTTTTAAATACACTACCTAACAGAATCCTTCATATGACCTGTCTTTGTAATACTCACTTGTGCTTTATAGTAATCTGTTTACATTAATGTTTTATCACTGACTTCATCATTGCTTAGTTAATCTTAAGTTAATTTTAAGCCAGCCCGTAATGCTATGCATAGTATAAGTGGCTTTGGCATACTGCTCTTATCTGTATTTTTTTGTACCTCTGTATGTGTGCACAAATTTATAATAAATAAATAAATAAATAAATAAATAAATAAATATATGGAATAGGAGGTAAGTTATTAAATGCTGTAGAGTTTTTATGAGGATAGTGAGGCTCAGGTTAGGGTATGTAGAAGAGAGGGAGACTACTTCCCGGTAAAAGTAGGTCTTAGACAGGGATGTGTAATGTCACCATGGTTGTTTAATATATTTATAGATGGGGTTGTAAAGGAAGTAAATGCTAGGGTGTTCGGGAGAGGGGTGGGATTAAATTTTGGGGAATCAAATTCAAAATGGGAATTGACACAGTTACTTTTTGCTGATGATACTGTGCTTATGGGAGATTCTAAAGAAAAATTGCAAAGGTTAGTGGATGAGTTTGGTAATGTGTGTAAAGGTAGAAAGTTGAAAGTGAACATAGAAAAGAGTAAGGTGATGAGGGTATCAAATGATTTAGATAAAGAAAAATTGGATATCAAATTGGGGAGGAAGAGTATGGAAGAAGTGAATGTTTTCAGATACTTGGGAGTTGACGTGTCGGCGGATGGATTTATGAAGGATGAGGTTAATCATAGAATTGACGAGGGAAAAAAGGTGAGTGGTGCGTTGAGGTATATGTGGAGTCAAAAAACTTTATCTATGGAGGCAAAGAAGGGAATGTATGAAAGTATAGTAGTACCAAACCTCTTATATGGGTGTAAAGCTTGGGTGGTAAATGCAGCAGTGAGGAGACGGTTGGAGGCAGTGGAGATATCCTGTTTAAGGGCAATGTGTGGTGTAAATATTATGCAGAAAATTCGGAGAGTTAATAAAAGTATTAGTCAGAGGGCAGAAGAGGGGTTGTTGAGGTGGTTTGGTCATTTAGAGAGAATGGATCAAAGTAGAATGACATGGAAAGCATATAAATCTATAGGGGAAGGAAGGCGGGGTAGGGGTCGTCCTCGAAAGGGTTGGAGAGAGGGGGTAAAGGAGGTTTTGTGGGCGAGGGGCTTGGACTTCCAGCAAGCGTGCGTGAGCGTGTTAGATAGGAGTGAATGGAGACGAATGGTACTTGGGACCTGACGATCTGTTGGAGTGTGAGCAGGGTAATATTTAGTGAAGGGATTCAGGGAAACCGGTTATTTTCATATAGTCGGACTTGAGTCCTGGAAATGGGAAGTACAATGCCTGCACTTTAAAAGAGGGGTTTGGGATATTGGCAGTTTGGAGGGATATGTTGTGTATCTTTATACGTATATGCTTCTAAACTGTTGTATTCTGAGCACCTCTGCAAAAACAGTGATAATGTGTGAGTTGGTGAAAGTGTTGAATGATGATGAAAGTATTTTCTTTTTGGGGATTTTCTTTCTTTTTTGGGTCACCCTGCCTCGGTGGGAGACGGCCGACTTGTTGACAAAAAAAAAAAATGTAAATAATGGAAACACACACAAGTGCAGTGAAATGAAATCCTTGTTGACAAAGTTCTGCCCACACAGTGGGAGGTTTACAAGTCATCTTGTAGTACATCTGTAAATTGTGTACAGTACTATATTAGGTATACAGTAGAGTACTTTTCTGTTTTTTCCTATTATAAACGTTATTCTGATGTAACAAATACCCAGACAACCCTCCTCTTAGTTTGTTATAACAAGGGTTTACTGTACTTGTCAGCAATATGCAATTTCATCGGGAATACAACACGTTTTTTACATGTATCAATTTTACAGACTAAGAGCTGTTATCCTACCTCAGTTTATTTCAAAGCCCAGCCCTGTCTAAGGGATACTACCACCCCCAGGATGCCACCCATACCAGTTAACTAACACCCTGGTACCTACTTACTGCTAGGCAAACAGGAACAACATGACGGAGTCATATAGCCGGAGCAACAGAGGTGGATGAAAAACATAAGTATCATTTACCTTGACAGAGTCATACGGCCGGAGGAATGGAGGTGGATGCGTTGCTGGGCTGACAGTCTCATTGGGAGCTCCCAAGGGAGGTGGAATCCCACCTGGCACCATCCTAGTGAGGTAGAGAAGAAATTGGTCACCTTAGTCACAAAGTAAAGAAGAATTGACTCACTGACAATAAGAACAAATGCAATATCTTAACTATGATTAAAAAAAAAACTTCAAAATATATTCTTGAGTTAACAGACCAATAAAGGGAGAGTAAAGTAGCAAAGTTTATTCTCATGGCATTGCCTAAGTTTTTCCATTATTTTCCTACTGAACATGGAAAAGCCCATAGCTTATGCAATGCATTTCAGGCAAACTTGGGATTAAACTTACAACAAAATAGTCAAAATAGTTATATAAAAAAGGTATATATTATAAATGTTTACAAGAATTTAATGAATTTATGGGAATTTGGAGACTGAAGCACAGAAGGGTCATCTTTAATGCCAATTACTTATTTAATTATTATTATTTTTCCACAATTATTATTTTTCCACAATTATTATTTTTCCACAATTATTTTTTTTTCACAATTATTATTTTTCCACAATCAGAATAATGGACAATTCAGCATTTATAAGACTTTATTTGTTGTTTCTGAATGTTGTCTAACCAGAGACTCTCACTAATAACTCACACAGAAAAGAATAAAACTTATTACAATGTTTCAGTCCAACTTGGTTAATGACATTTCAGTCTGACTTGGCCCGTTAACTATCACTAGTTAATGATCCTGGTCAGACTGAAATGTCATCAAATTTCATCTTAGCCGACGTGCTGGTTATATGCGCATTGTTCCAGTCACGGTATTGTGCCTTTTTATTCTCTTCAGGAGACTTTCATTAAATCCGATGTCGTTAAATCAAGATGCTCCTGTATTTACTCGCTATTAACTTACAATTTCGAGAGAGAACTTCAGGCCATGTTTTGGTCCATCCTGGACTCTCATTAAGTCATGCACAAATATCCCACATGTAGGAGACAGAAACTTATGACGATATTTCAGTCCAACCAGGACCATTAACTAGTCACAAAGAAGTGCAAAGGGAAGGGAGCCAGTATGGTCCAAGTCAGAGCAAAATGTCGTAACAAGTTTCTTTCTCTTATGTGAGAGTTATTTGTGTACTGTTCCAGTCACGGTAGTGTGACTTTGTGAAATGGTCCAGCAGGAACTGAAACGTCCTCTAAAATTTCTTCTGAAGACTTGAGACACTTATGCAATATATGGGAATCTTTACTGAAGAAACATTTCGCCACACAGTGGCTTCATCAGTCCAATACAAAGCAGGAAGGTGTAAGGAGAGGAGGAGTTTGAGGTAATCAGTCCCTCAGCCTGGAATCGATGTGTTCAGTCCATCACTCTTCTAGGAAGTACAGCATAGGGCCAGAGAGGTGGCTTATATACTGCAGTCAGGTGAGTCGATGCAGGAGGAGGCGGGATCACAGTGGGACCATCCACTCGTGTAAGTAGGTCTCTGTCCAAAGGTTGGGCAAGAGTTGAAGTATTCTTTGTGTCAAGATCCCATGATGCTGCAGTGTCTGACGGATGTGATGAATGGTTTGAAAACCGACAAGTTGAAGAATTGAGGCATGCAATACAGTGGACCCCCGCATAACGATTACCTCCGAATGCGACCAATTATGTAAGTGTATTTATGTAAGTGCGTTTGTACGTGTATGTTTGGGGGTCTGAAATGGACTAATCTACTTCACAATATTCCTTATGGGAAAAAATTCGGTCAGTACTGGCACCTGAACATACTACTGGAATGAAAAAAGTTCATTAACCGGGGGTCCACTGTATATGGGAATCTTTATTGAAGAAACATTTTGCCACACAGTGGCCTCATCAGTCCAATACAAAACAGGAAAGTGTAAGGAGAGGAGAAGTTTGAGGTAATCAGTCCCTCAGCCTGGAATCGATGTGTTCAGTCCATCACTCCTGTAGGATGGACTGAACATGATGTGTTCAGTGTTCATGTGATGAAGCCACTGTGTGGCGAAACATTTCTTCAATAAAGATTCCCGTACATTACAAAAGTGTCTCAATTCTTCAACTTGTCAGTTTTCAAAACATTCATCACAAAAATTTCTTCACCTATATTGTGGGTTAATAGTGATTTGTTCCAGTATTGTTACTCATATTTTTATACTACACTTAAATCCTTTATAAAGCCAGTTTTATTTTTTCTCTTTTATTTTTTCTCTAAGTGTCTAATACAGTATTAGAAGGAACTTAAAAACTGATACAAGTTACAAGTAAATTTATAAGAAAATCACCTTAACCCTTAAACTGTCCAAACATAGATCTACGTTTGCTGGTGTAGCGCTCCGAACGTAGATCTTCGTTTTCTTTTGCATTGTTTCTTATGGAGAAAATCAAGGTCAGAGCGCTACGTGTGCATACGTAGATCTACGTTTGGACAGTTTAAGGGTTAAGAAAATAAATTTGTCTAGTTGTGTAGGGTGAATAATACTTGTTAAACTACAATACAAAATATAACAAGATAGCATATACCTATCTAATAATACACTGGAGTGGAAAGCTGAAACAAGAAGAACACGGAGAGAACTGGATGAAAGCAGTGGGTTTCAGGATTCATCAAGAATATTGCTGGCAAGATCACAGTAAGGTAAGCTGGCATTTTTTAACAGTACTTTGTAGCAGTTGGTAGTAAACCTTTGGAATCTTCAGGAAGTGTTCCAGATTTTAGGACCTTTCATAAATGTTAAATATTTACACAGGCTGAGTCAAAAGCGAGATGGTAAATATCAAACGGATTTTTGTGTCTTGTTTTATGTCTATGAGTTCTGCTGCAGCTATCCAAGATAACTTTCAGAGTGGAGTTTATAAGTGAACTGACTGTCCTATATAAATAGTATGCAGAGTAGTATGAGTGAATATTATGTACAGTGGAACTGTGGTTTTCGTTTGCCCTGGCTTTCGTCGAATTCGGTTTTCAACGACTTTTTTCGTCAAAAATTTATCCCAGTTTTCGTTCATCACCTTGGTTTTCGTCGAGTTGACAGTGGTCCGCTGTACCAAACGTGTCCACCCATACCCACACAAAGCATCCCACGTGTTCGGAGTCAGTCTGGCTTTGTTTCTCGTTGGTAGAGTGTGGTAGTGATGGTGGTAGAGGGTGGTAGTGATGGTAGTAAAGGGTGGCAGTGATGGTGGTAGGGGTGGCAGTGATGGCGGTAGAGGGTGGTAGTGATGGTGGGAGAGAGTATTGTCTAGCACTAGATTTTGTGATCATTTGTACAGCCACTTCTTGCAGTTATTATTGGTTTTAGGTGATTTGCTGTAGTAGATCCTAAGGAACAAATACCATAGGTGAGGTAAGAACAGGTTAGAGTTGTACCAAGTTAGTAGTGCTGTTTGAGGTGCAGAGTAATACAGCCTCTCCTCACTTAGTGACGTGCTTGTTTACCGACGACTTGGACTTATGATGGGCTTTCTGCCCAGCACGCATAAAGAAATAATGTATATTAGAGCTGATTTCCTCTATTCTGTTTATTACAATACAGTGGTACCTTGACTTACAAGTGCCCTAACTTACAAGTTTTCTGAGTTATGAGCTGTCGCTCAGTCGATTTTTTGCTTTGAGTTCCGAGCCAAAATCTGAGTTATGAACGAGCTTCGGATACGCCGCCACTCGCACAAGATACTGTTGAAATATCAAAAAACTCGATAATAACCAATGTGTAACATCCTTTCAATTTTGATACCAATGGTAGTGTCATCCTGCCAGAATGTTCTATAATGTATGCCCTAAGTAAAGAGAAACAATTCTAGAACATGTGTAATACATGTTCAGCAAACTGGCTGGTTGGGTGGCCAGCTGACTGGCTGGTTGGGTGGCCAGCTGACTGGCTGGTTGGGTGGCCAGCTGACTGGCTGGTTGGGTGGCCAGCTGACTGGCCGGTTGGGTGGCCAGCTGACTGGCCAGTTGGGTGGCCAGCTGACTGGCCAGTTGGGTGGCCAGCTGACTGGCCAGTTGGGTGGCCAGCTGACTGGCCAGTTGGGTGGCCAGCTGACTGGCCAGTTGGGTGGCCAGCTGACTGGCCAGCTGGCTGGCTGATTTGCTTTGGCTGTTTCTATCTCCTTATGTCTGTCTGTATCTATCTCTGTCTCTGTAAATCTGTGGTTCTATCTCTCTCTCTCTCTCTCTCTCTGTCTCACAGGTACACATAAATACAGTTATACATAGTGTAAATTACCTAGGATAACCCAAAAAATTCAGACAAAGTGCTATACTATGCTTGTAGATATAAGGCATAATAAGCATGACTGCCAAGTAATACACGTATTTACTAGTTCAGGAATCAGACGTGACCAACTCTGCATCGTGTGTAATACCTGTTGGCTCATGAGCGACTCTCTCTCTGAGACAGAGAGACAGGAAGACAGAAACACAGGCAGACAGAAAGACAGATAAGTAGAGACAGAAATAAACACAGAGCTAGACAGACAAATACAGATAAAAACAGACAGACAGACAGACAGAAACAAACAGATACACAGACATGTTTATGTGTAACAGTGAAAAATAAAGCCAAGGCAGTGAACGATCATCAAATATCACTCCACTGCTGCACTGTCAACAGTGGAGTGACACTCCTCTTACACTGTGCTTCAAGGAGTTTCATATACATGTATACTCCATCATTTCTAAAACATTTTTGGAACCTGGCAAAAAAGGCAAAAATAATTTCTAATTTATAAATACATTTTTCTTATTTAAAAACCCGTAACAAAAAAATTGGGGTGGTTTTTTTGGGGGCTGGAACGAATTAATGGCATTTCAATTAATATTTAAATTAAAGAGGGCAATTTTCTGGGTGTAATAAGACCCAAAAAAAAAAAAAAATTAGGGGCAGTACTTGCCGAGATATAAGGTTGTTAAGTTGGCGATGGATGCTTGCTTGACGGCAACATGGAGTCCTGCTGCTTGCAGAAGTGTTGCCGATATACCATTTTTCTTCATTATTTTAATTTACATAATTTTTATGTTCTAATAATTACAATTTATAGTAGTTCTTGTGATTTCATAGCCAATC